AAGCCATCGCAGCTGTGACTTCTCAATCTGGAGAAGCAAAGGCTGTACACCAAGGCTCTTCCGGATGTCAGTATTCCGTACCATGTCGAAACGCGTAAGGCCAGCGACTCATCTCAGAAAGCCGATTTCGGCCGCTTGTACCCGCGATCGAAGCTTCTGTCATGGTTCACGACTCATGATTGTGTGACTCATAACGGCAAGGACACTGATTTGCAATTCTATGCCACCAACCGTGCCTTAATTTTCAAAGGCAGAGTCGACGGCGGATATATCGCAAGCATCGTGCGTAATCTCCGGTTTCCTTTCCACAGTGTTATTCATTTTTCAACTTCGGAAGAAAGAAAGACGAGTAACCCTAACCGGGGCTCAAACTCAGTACCTCACAGATCTGAGTTCAACGCTGTACCAACTGGACAACCCCGGTCTGAAGTAATGTGTGGTAAACTCCTTGCTCCTTCGAGACTAAGGCAAGGATTGCAATCCGCCAGAATCGAACTCTGCATCTTGTGGCTTGAAGCTGACCTGGTGCGTAGTCTGCCACTATGCAACAACCATTGTGGGTATGAAGAATCAAACGAAGGATGATGAGGACTCCGGTGTTCATAACATAACTGAATTGGAATATTTTACGATAAGCTTAAAAAATTTGCCGGACGTAACATCTTACTAATTTAGAATGCTGTCAGTCTCTGACTATTTCCTAATGAATTACACCAATTTCGCGAAATAACCATGTAGAACTTTGAAAGGAAAGTTAAATTAAAAATGTTATATAAATTAACTTTCAATACTTTTCGAAATTATGCATCTCTCCCCGCGTTCTCTAAGTTTCTCAGGTGTTCTAGCTCAAATACTTCAAGTATAAGCCTAGAAATAGACACATCAGACCTACATAAGCCCATAACTGGATTTTTGCTAAGAATGATTTATGAACTACTTCCTCCGCTCATTACCTTAGTTACAACGGATATCTGCAGGTCATTGGAAAATGACTGGCACTCTGACAGATATTGCCGCACGGCAAAACAAGCTTAATAATTTCAGATTTTCTTTACTGAACTCTAAATATCCTAAATATTTACTGCTGCCCAAACCTGTCCTTAAACTGGCTTAAATTATTACTTCAAAATTATATTACTTCCGGAACTGACAAAGCTGCGCCAGCAATTACCTCTTCTTCGAGGCGCTGGTCTATTGCGTTAACGGAGTCGTTTTCGACATTTCCTTCTGCATGAAAATATCCAGTTGACTGGAGGTGTGCCAGAGTCTTCTTGGAAAAGTCTGAATTATCAGACTTTATTCAGCAATTTGCTTTAGCCCATTAGCTAAAAATGATCTGTGAGTTTCTAACGTAAATCCATCTGCCGTAAATGAACAACGATGTCACAGCCAAACACGATTTTATCAAAGCAAAGCTTCGACAGTTTTGAGTTATCACAGGTTTCTATGACTGTTAGGAACTGATTTCAGTTTGTTATGAACTAAAATTATTTCAGTCCTAAGGAGTATTTCATACAATTGGTAAAAGCTTTGAAGAGTCATTTGCTGACGATGTTAAAATAATGTATACTCCCTGTACAGTTCAATTGCGTACGAGGGAGATTCAGCGGTAAGGCATCTAATGGTTTAGCGCCTGCATCCGGGTGACGTTGAAAAATGCAACTTCTGCGGAGAGCACTGTGTAGGAGTAAGACAAAGTAGTAATTGATTTAAAAGGTAAAAGATTTTGTAGTAAAAACTGTAGAAACCTTATCTTTCATCCTAGGGGCGAGACTGCCCAGAGGGTGACTACCAATGGCGTAACAGATAGCGCTGTCTATGCAAATGAACTACCATTTTTTGCCACTAGCCCTAAAGTACTGTTACGTGTTTCCTGTAACAGATCAAACTAAAAGACTTCAGTCATCATGTCCTACCCACCTTTGGTAATACCAATACCACTCTATAAAAGATCTGCATGGGTACAAAGCGTACTACAGATTCGTATAAATAATATCTGCATTCCAGTAACTTTAATGGCAGGTTTCGTGTATCATAAACTGCGTAC